TAGCTTAACTTGGTTACGAAATGATTAGTTTGAGAAATTATTGGTTATGCTGGGGAATTATTGATTAGGAATTGAATAAAGTGAATATTGATGTTATTGTTATACATATTATATATGTTATTAATATTATAATAAAATGTTTTGATATTTTAATAAATTTTGATTAAAATATTAGATTATTATTATATTTTATTATAATATGAATTATATCAATATAATTGCAAAAATATATAAAATATATTTGTATTTATTATAAAATACATTTGAATATATTAAAATATATATTAAAATATTATATTTTATTATATTATATATTGTCTTACATATAACGTCTACATTTACAGTAAATTTATCAGCATTTCGAGGAAACATGAGATTTAATTCTTTTATTTTACAAGAAAGAGAGATTGTCATTTATTGAATATCAAATCATATAGCACATAATTAAATATATATAGTAACAAATTAGTAAAACTTGAGAGAAATGTAAGATTCTTATATTTCAAATAGTAGTGCACAATCATTGCAAAAAAGTACCTGAAAAGTTATTTTTTGAATAAATATAAGTGTAACGATATAAGTGTAACGTTGTTTTTCAGAATCGGTGACTTGTAATTGTAACTACTTATTTTCTTTTAGTAAAGAAACTGTAACCAGATGCTTTTGCGAAATAACTTTTCCAATCCTGCGTTCGGTACCAATCCCCGCCTGTCATTTTCGTGTTCATTCGCGCCGCGATTTTTTTTTTATCACATACGTCGAACTTTTACAATCTAACGCTACGTCCGTCAAACAGCTCGCGCGTCAAAGACTTCGGATTAGGATTGGCAGCGCGGCCTAATTTGCATGTTTTTCTTTCGACAGGGTAGGCGTCGCGGCGCCTCCGACAGTTGCTCGTCGACATCCCGCGTCGCGAACGAAACGCCAACGAAAATAACCGCGCTCTCGCGCGCGATAGCAGCGTGCCTAAACTTTACGTCGTAATTCACGAGGTTCGCGCACTCCCTTCGTCTTCCATCCTCGCAACCAACAACTTGGCTCTCTTCCTCTTTTTCTCTTCCCTCTTCCCCCTCTCTCTGTCTCTCTTTCTCTCTTTCTCCCTGCCGCTTGCTGTTTTCTGTCTTATTCGTAGCAGTAACGGTTGCCTCCGCTTTTCCAAGGCAATTGCGTACCGTTACCGTATAGTTGTGAAGTTTGCGAGGGAGAAAGAAATTGTGAAAATTAAGAGAAGTGGCACGCGCGGTCGGGGGTGTGCATGAAAAGTATCAATGCGGCGTGTCGTTGCGCGTCTATAAATACCCTCTTGTCCCATTGTTATTCGAGACAACGGACGTTTGTTACGTTACGTACGCATAACACGCGCACGTGCGGTCGTGACGACTATCGTCGCGCGTCCAGGAGCGCTTAAGTTTCCCCACATTTCGGAACTTGGGAGCGACGTATGTGACGTTCGTGTACTTTATGCAGCCAACGTTGCCTTGCAGATATTATGAGACCACTTTCAAATTTACGCAACATAACGTAATGTAAATAGACAAGAATTTTCACTGTTACTTTTATGTCTCGCGATTCTTCATCTTTTAATTATTCTTGCGGTGGAGGGGGGATAAATAATTTGTTTGCGGTGTAATCAGTCAGTCTCTACATAATCTCGTCAGACAGATAATTTACCTTGGAGAAATTCTAATTTTAAATTTATACAATGTAAAGTAGTATAAAGAGGCGAGATTTTTTACTATTATTTTTATATTATACCTCGGGATTTTTTAATTCATTACGTTGCATCTTTTTTTAGCTGAGAAAGAGAAAAAAGAGAGAGAGAGAGAGAGAGAGAGAAAGATAATTATTTATTAGAAATTTTTTATCTTGTTTCGTAGTATATGTGTTTTTCTTGATTTATTACAATGTAGATTTATACAGGGTGTCCGGGATCTTTTGGAAACGAAAAATTGTGAAGATTAATCAAATTAAACTGAGAAGAAAAGTCAAGTATCATTTTGCAAAAATTACAATAGTTATTAATGATTGATGAAAATGACCACATCTAGAAGTTCTTTTAATTGATAACTTTAAAATTTACATACTTATTCGCAATAGCGAAGGACTTTTTCTTGTTCAGACTCAATCTATAATTATATGATGACTATTGTGCCTAACGACAAATTCAAGATTCAGAGTTTTACAATTAATTATGCAGATTTTCAAGTTACCAATTAAAAGAGCTTCTAGATGTGGTTATTTTCAATCATTAATAACTTAATAACTATTGCCATTTTTGCAAAATGGTACATGACTCTTCTTTTCAGTTTGATCTGAATAATCTTCACAATTTGCAAAAGATCCCCGAGACACTTCGTATACTATTTTAAAAAAAAGAAAGAAAATTTAATATTATTCTCATGTAGATGTTTAAATATAAATTTTGTACATGTTTAAGAGTGTAATTCATTTATTATATTGTCAAGATATAAAGGTATATACATAATATGCCACTGAAGTGAAGGGAATCACTCGACTTTCAAGATCCGGTATGGTCTAGTGGCTAGGATACCTGGCTCTCACCCAGGAGGCTCGGGTTCGATTCCCGGTACCGGAATATATTTTTTTCGAAGTTTGTATATAAAATATAGACTAAATTTTATATTTCCTCAACGTGTGAAAAACATATAAATTCACAGTCGTGATTTAACGCAGGCTTGAAAAATAGTTAATGAAACTGTCAGTCATTGTTGTTCCGTTCCGTTTCGTAGGTAGGTCGATGGCCTCCTGATAAAACAGTTTGCATTTACAACATCATGTGTGAGATCATAAAATCTACCATAATCATATGAATTTTATCACATTTTACTGCAAGTTGTAGACATATCACAGACGGTTAATTAATTATGTCGTTCTTTGAATAATGTAGGCATTTTATACATGAAAACTCTCGTTTTCAGACATTGCGAATGCAGATCGTCGACGAGTAATTAACACGAAGCTATGAATAGCGCGATCAGCGCCGATGTTTTCATCGAGCGTGAAAAATTAGCGCATTCGACGCGTTCCGTTCGAGAACGCGACGTGTTATCTAAAATTAGATCCCTGCATGACAATAGTCCGTTTCCGTGCGTACAATTCGCTCGGCGACTTCGAAAGGCGTGAAATCGAGCGTTCTTGGTTAACGCGATACGTATCGTGCAAATGGAAATTCCTCTCGGCGCGTCTTACCAAGGACGAGAAACGCGCGAGGACAATACGTCGGGAGGCCAACTGGCCGGTTCATTCGCGGTTTGCACATGGCCGCGCAGAGATAAATGTCATTCACCATAAACCCATCATTTTACTTACTATAAAATGCGCGCGTAAAATTGCTCACGCGCGAATCATTTGCCCGATGTGTTCCGCTTTATCGCGGACTTTCGCTCGCGCGAAAAGCGACGTATTGGTGCGGTCGCGCGCTCTCGTTATCATTGTGCGCCGTTTCCTGCCTCTCTCAGTGCGCTTACTTGCCATTGTATCAAAACAAAACAGCGATATCGTAACACGGCGTGGCGTCTCTGGATTTCCTGCTCGACGTCGGCGTGCCACGGCCGGAATGATCTCGCTCGATCGATGATGCCTTTGATAGCATAATTGCGTCCTCCGAGCTTTTCAGCGCGCTCGGACGACCCGCAGCGTAATGCTATTCATTATTCGATCTATAGATCCACTTCCTTTCGACGACTGCCGCTTCCACGCTCGCCAGAGATTCGACGTGGGAGCGGTGTCATCTTTTGAATTGTGCTCTCCGTTGATCGCCTGTTAAATTATCCCAATTACAAGTGGATTACTATTAATTCCTCGTGCACAATGGCACACCGTCGAATCGACTGAAAGGGAAAAAGAGAGTCCCAATTGCCGTGCACTCGCTTCGTAATCTATCGGAACGAGCGACGCGACCTCCAGATCCTTCGTTTCCGATGCCGAAGACGAAGGCACGGCCAGCCGCGTCTGGTTTCCTTCGTCGGCTCCGTAATAAGTGCAGCGCCGAGTATGGCGAGACCTCGACACCCGGGAGAGGAATGTGACCAGAGTATTGTATCCGAAGCCTAAAAGCCGAGGCACGGGGCGGGGGCTGCTGGCGCCAGGCTTGCTCTCGAGCACGTACTCGCTCCGACCACTTTTCTCGGCTCCTCGAAATTAACGCCGTCCACTCGGTCGCGCTGGCATTTAGCGTGGCAGCTTCTTCTCGCCCTCTTCGTCTCACCCTTTACACTCTCCTTTATGATGATTTCACCCTTCTTCGCGACACTCGAGGCGATATTTTTCTTCTCACCGGCGAGACTCGCTCCTCTCTTGCGCGTGCGAGATGCGCTTCTCCTTGGGGTAAAAAAAAAAAAAAGAAGAAGAGGAAAAGCGGAACTGCAGAAAAATATTCATCGTCCTTCGCGGGAGAGAGAGAAAGAGATAGAGATAGAGAGAGAGAGAGAGAGAGAGAGAGAGAGAGAGAGAGAGAGAGAGAGAGAAAGGAATTCCAATCGAGCCTGATTAACATCCGCGCGAGCGCGCGCAATCGGCTTCTTCTTCTGCGTAGGTACTGCGGCTCATAAAATTTTACGTCGCGTTTCCGTACATACGTAAACTGATTTTTCCGTACTTCCCTTATAATTATCTTTCTGCACAGCTTCCTCGCTGACTCGAGTTTACGAGTTCCCGCGAGTGCTGCGAGACCGCCGAGTTCACCCCGCCGTGGCTTAAGACATAATAAATGCTTCCTTTCCAACGCACGATGCCGCGACTCGGCGAAACACGCAATTGCGCGTTGCGCAATGTCGAATGTCCTTCGCAATCGCATCTCGGGCGCGTTTTATCGCCGATAAAAGAGTATCTCGTAATTCGTTCGTAAAAGGTTTCAGGGGAAGCTTATTGTAGTTAGAGGAAGCAATGCGCGATGGGGGACTCTTCGCGAGGACTTATCTTTCGCGGTAAATCGAGACATCGTTTCAACCAACGAACGCATTCGTCGCCGATGTTTTCAGATGAGTCCACCTTGATCCGGCGAGCATGACTTCCACAATGGGACTGCAGCAGCAGGCTGCGTCCCAGGACACGGTGGACTTCGCCGGCTACCTGCAATCCACACAGTGCCATCATGGAAATCAAGCGGAAGGACAGGTGCAGAGTTGTCAAAAATCAACACATCGCGAGCACAATAGCAGCTTCACCAGCACGAAGGGTCTGCTCAACGGCCCCGGCCAGAACAATTGTTTCCTCAACAGTGCTGTACAGGTGAGTGGCTCCAGCGGAACAACTAACAAGACACGCCGTCGACACGCCGACGACCGCAATTAGAATTTCGCCAACATATTTCATCCGGTTGTGTGCTGGGGAAAAGCACCTGTATTAGGAAAGTAACGAGAAATGTGTGTTTTGTGGAGAAAGTGCGCACATTTCCACGTACACACACTCACACAGCCAATTGGGGAACACGGCCCTGCGGCGAGCGTCTAGGAAGTGAACGGACGCCTTTGGCGTATGCAACCCGCTGCTCAAGCGCGCCTTTTGCCCTTCTCGGGGCAGGTAGGCGCGAGTGCATCGGACGTTACAAAACGTGCGGCAAAGAGAGCGATACGGTCTAATAATACGCAAATAATTTATTCGACCGAGCCACGCGAAGGATTAAATTAAAGTGTCGCGTATATAAGGAGCATAAAGTATTCAGACTCGCGGTAGCCTTTCGTCCGGTTGCCTCTCGTCATAAAGTTTTCACAGTCAAACGATCACAGGTAATCGTAAATGATACCTCGGGTTTAAGCAGTAATTTATATTAAGATTAAGAAAAATGCGCCAACCCGGTGATCCTTGACATTCGAGAGGTATCATGGCGCTGTCGCTTGCTATTTCTTCCCGAAGACTTTACGAGTCTCGTTGTCGAGCTCGCGATTTATGAACACGGGCCACCGCCGAATCTGGAAAATTTACTGTCCTATAAGGAGCCTTTGAGAGACGCGCGTAAATATTCATGCCTGACGAAGTGACAGCCTCCAGAGTCTCTTCGTGTCCTTCTCTCGACCGGATCGTCAGGCAGCTCTTAACTCTCTCGCGAACGTCGATGCTACGCCTCTCTCGACGGCGTACTGTTAACTTCTCGCTATTTCATGGCGAATTTCGCAACGTGTGTGTATAGTCACGCTACTTCCACGATTAAGGACACCGGCCACCGGTTCCAAAGTCGAGAGGAAGAGGTCACGTTTGCTCACGTTAAGAGGCGCTAAAAAGCGGCCATGAGCGCCGTGTTAAATATGACTCGAAGGAGTTTCAGAAAGTTCTCACTTGAAAATTAAACTTTTACATATTATCATAAGCTCCAATAATATCAGGTAGCCAAGAAAGCTCGCGCCGCTCGTCTAGGTTTTGTCATCGTCAAACTGCGCATGCGCATGCATTATAAGTTAAAAAGTGTGGTTATGTAAGCGTTAAACGAAAGCTCGTTTAACAGAGAATTTATCCGTGTATAACACTCTTAACGGAAGTTAATTATTTAAAGTTTTGCATGTGTTAAAGCGTACGTTAAAACGGCATGAACTTTCCCGGTTACCTAATGTATTCAACGTCCCGTTACACTCATCTACGACATTAAAAATTTTAATTATTCTTGCGAGGGGAGGGGGGATAAATAATTCGTTTGGGGAGTAATTAGTCAATCTTTACGTAATCTCGTCAGACAGATATTTCACCTTGAAGAAATTCAAATTCTATCTAGCGTAGGGTAGCGCAAACGCGCTAACATTCCGCACGTTAACGATATACCTGGTCGCTCAACATGAGGCACGCGTACCAACACCGCGCCTTACGTGACACGTGATACAAACGTTTTAAGCGCAAACCGCGCACGCAGTACGCAGGGTGTGGTAACTGCTTTGTCTCGTGTTACGAATGGAAAATAAAAGCCGTGACGACGTCTCGCCCCTCCCCCTGACCGTGGTGCGAGCTTTACGATCGAGATAGTATCTGCATTAACGACGACCATCAATCTCGCGATCGCGTATGCGTGAAGACTTGTAACCTTCCGATAATCACATGACCCACGTCGGCGCTCGTATCAATTGCACGGTGGGCTCGTACGCGACGGAGCAATCGTGCTCCGTGGATTTTCATTTCATACGTGCCCACCCCCTCCTCCGATTTTTATTATCTAGATACCAGAAACTGAAAAAATACATATGGATTTTGCGAAATATCAAAAACTTTTTTTGCAATTAACACTTTTGTACGAAATTTTTAGGTCAAAACATGAAATCCTATTTCAAGTGTTTACTACTTCCACAAAAATAAATATTTCTAAATACCCATACGTACTTCTCCAATTTCTGGCGTCTAGGTAATAACAATCTTTCATTTTTGTTTTACGTCCAATTCTGTAGTCGTGAGACTGAACACCGTTGAGAGCGTCGGTCCAAAAGGGCTCCCAGTGTTTCGGCTTCAACGCCGCCATCTCGTTTCAAATATTTACAAAAAAGATACTTCTTTTCCCTCAAAGAGTTGCTCAATAAATATCTTATTTTCATTTTTGTATTTCTTTTGTTATGTCCTCAGAAAAAATTCTTCCTCGGAAATAACAGTGATTTTGACCCGTCCTAAGTAGCCTAACCCCTTAGTCGGCTCGCGAAGTTCCGAAACGGATTAGCGGATGTCGAGACCGAGTGGTTCGTCCGGCTGTATCGTTTCGACGATACGGACAACTCGGTTCCCTCGAGTTATCGCGGTGCCTGGTGCGTAATGGCCTGCCGAGTGTTTCCGATTTCGTCAAAGCTCTGCCTGCTAATCGTTGAACGCCCGCGTTATCGTGCATAGACCGCCGGCCGTATCGTGTGAGTGGAACGTTCTATACCTGCAGGGGTAAAAATGCACGCGTATCTACGTTCCCATCCTCCCTGTCACTGACGGGAATAGTAAGCGATAACAGTATGCGCACCGATAACGTCACCGCGCGTAACGAGCAACGAGTCAGAGTCGTCTACCGGTTTACCGGTCTTCCTCTCACGTCGATCGTGTTAGACAAAGGGGATAAGCGCTCGTGAATTTTCCATCGCGTTCGCCAATATGAGGCGAATCGAAGCGAGCGGATGATCGACAGGTGTGTTTCGTAAGGTTTATTCGACAACGTCGGCGACGGCGTCGGCTTCAATTCCGTGCTTTCCCGGCTTTCGCGCGGACGACCGGCGCGATATGAAGTCAACGTTATTTTGGACAAAGTCCAATTTTAGTTTCCGTACGGCTCTCTCTCTCTCTCTCTTTGTCTCTCTCTCTCTCTCTCTCTCTCTCTCTCTCTCTCTCTCTCTATGTATTCCCTTTACCAATAGTAATATCTTGGATCGTTTCCACGCGTCGGCGACGTCTGATGCTTCGCGGTGCACGTTCGTCAAACTGTTCGACTCTCCTCTGGCTGATTTCGCAACCACCGAGCGGGAAAACATTTCATCGTCGAGTGACCACGATCGGCTCTCGTTCGGCGGAACGAGCGTAGAACGTTGGCGATCGCCAGAAACAAATCATGGGTTACGAGTGTATTCCAGGAGCCTTCGGAGGAATAGGCTCAGGGTACTTCTCAGGGCTGTACCACGGATATGCAAGTTCAAGGCTGTGCCATGCCGGCAGGGAGATCGTACGTTCTTTGTTTCGAGACGATCGGCTTGTTCTCAAATCGACTTTGGAAACTTTTTAGTTATAAAGTTGGCAGGCTCCAGATGAATTTAGATACGTTCCGCACGTTAATCGGCTGATTCATGCGATCGACTTTACGATCGAGAGATTTGGTGTGACCAAGATAATAAATAATAAAAAATCCATTTTTCATCTAATATTACAAAATTAATAATTAAAACTAACTTTATAAGCAGAAGTAGTATATGATTGTGAATATTCAAGCGTGATTAGTTGATCAATTACGGAATGTATTACAGTTAGTGTTTAAGATCTACCTTATGACTATTAGGGGTGTGATTTAGTTTTCGGGATTTTGCAAGAGATGGCACTAACGAAATGCAAATTTCCAGTCGAAAACATTCCAATCTCAGCTATTGTTTCTTAGTGCTTTGATATTAATCCATAACCACTTAGATATTTACTAACAATAGACACAGTAAAAATCGTGTTAATATCATTTAAAAAATGGAGCTTCTTAAAGAGCATTTTCGACATACCTTGCTTTTTTTAATCAGAAAAATTGGCGACTGAAGGTCATAGAATTCTGATAGAAATTTGTGGTAATGTTGCTCCATCAATTAAGACACGTGAATATTCGTTTAGACGATTCAAAAGTGGTGATTTTTTTCCAACGTTAACGACAAACATCGCTCGGAACAAGCAAAAGAGCTTGAAAATGTAGTGTTTGTAAGCATTATTGGACAAAAAATCAGCACAATCCACTTCAGAATTTGCCAGAGCATTAAATGTTGATCGTACAACAGTTACTAGACATTTACATGATACGAGAAAGATTCACAAAGAAGGAAAATGGGTCCCACATCAATTATCGAAAAATGCCATTGCGAAACAGTTGAACATTTGCATTTCGTTAACCGCCAGACAAAAAATGAAGGGTTTTATTGTGTCGAATTGTTACTGGGGATGAAAAATGGATCTATTTCGATAATCCCAAACGAAAAAAATTATGGGTTGATCCAGACCAACCAGCAACATCCACTTTGAAGCGCGAATTTCACGGTTCAAAGGTATTGCTGTGTATTTGGTGAGGTCAAGAAGGGTGTTATGTACTACGTATGAACTGTTAAATCCGAATTATTTACAATAATTATACAAATTGAAGCAAGCATTGGGCCAAAAACGATCATTAATTGCGAGTAAACAACGCAAAGTGATTTTTCTTCACGAGAATGCTCGACTTCATGTTGCATTATCAGTGAAGCAAACGTTATTAGAGCTGGAATGGCAAGTCTTACCATGCCTCGCGTATTCTCCAGACATTGCTCCATTTGATTATCACTTGCTCCGGTCGATGCAACATGCTCTAGAGGATACATACTTTCATATCTTTGAACAAGTGCAAAAATTTGTTGAAAATTGGATCAACTTCAAAGAAGAATCTTTATCGTCGCGGATCTTCCATCTCTTGCCAGAAAGATAGGAAAAGGTCATAGAAAACAAAGGGAAATGATTTTGATCGAGGTATTCATTCATTATCTTGTTTAAGTAAATCGGTGTTTGAGAGAAAAACCTTCAAAACTAAATCACATTTCTACTAAAACCAAAATTCCCGAAACCGATTT